TTAGGTATTTATTGGGTACCTACTTGAGTACGAAAATGCAAAAAAATTGATTGTCTGATGAAAAAAAAATTTCGATGCTGAGCATCGATGGCAACTTCAGGCACATTAAAATTTAATTATTTAAAATTTCAATCTAAATTCTAATGTATATTTAATAAAAATTGAATTTTAGAAAAATTAAACTACGAATATTTGTAAATTTTAATTGCTAAAAATTTGCCTTAAATTTCATACTATAATTTTTTGAAAATAATTAATTTGAAATATAATTTTTGTTAAAAAGTTTGTAAATAATATAAATGTAGGAAATTTGAAATACAAATTTTTGTATATTTGAAATACTTACTTTTTTTCACAAATTTAGGTCAGTAATTACATTTTAAGGAATTTTTAATGCGAGATTTTTTAAACATAATTGAATTTCTAAAAAATTTTATTACAATAATTGAAATTGACTTATGAAACTAAACTTTTATTAAAAAAATTTTAATAATTGAACTTTGGAAGAAATAGAGTTATAATGTTTAGTAATTTTGACTTGAAATTTTTTGTTAATTTCAATTATTAAAATTTGTTATTTAACAACCTTTTGAAAATAATTTTTCGAGAAAAATGTTCGAGAAAAATGAAAAAGTTTTCCAGTAAAAATTAGCATGTTAAAAACTTGAAAAATATTAGGAAATTATTTATCTACATATAAATAAATAAATAAATAACATGATCATATTTTTAATGTAACTAACAAATTTTTCAACAACAACAAAATATTTAAAATAAGTTTTGGAAGAAATATTCTGTTCACTTTAAAGGAATATTCTATCAATATTCACACATTATTATTATTATTTTTATTATTTATTCTTATTTTATTATTCACACATTGAAACAATTAAATAAAAGTAAAATAAACGAAATGGAATCAAACGTCAAATTGTCAAAATGTAGCGACGGCTCGTATCTCGACATTACTATAGACTTCACGGTGCGAGCAAAAGCGGATCAACTTTTGACTAAGAGCAAAAATGGGATAGCCATTTAGCCCGCTTTTGCTCGCGCTCGAAAGAAATTCTGTTTTTCCTCGCAGCATTCATCTGGCCCATTCTTACCCGTCAGAAAAGTTAACTCACTTTTGCTCGCACTGTTATTTTATACCACTTTTTCTTTGAGCCCCACATATATCAAGTAGTATATTATCATCGCTTTACACACACACGCATACATCTCACGGTAGAACTGACATCTCTAACTTTAAACATTAATTATTCAATAAGTAAACATTAATTTGCCCTAAATATGTAATAAATAAATGCTTTAATGATTACTTTTGTTAAATTAAATAAGTTTTCCTAATTTTTTCTTTTCATTATTCACTAAATATGCTATTTAAAACCCACTATATTCACTGGAAACTACTTTGTCACTTTTACATATCAATAATTTATTTATAATTGTTCAATTTACATAATATAATTCAAAAATTTAATCTACAAATGTTACTTTATTATTCCCAATAATTTATTTTATAATATTTCATTGAATAATAGCAATTTTTTAAGTCTACCCAAAACCTACCTTAAATTTACCATATCTTGGGTAGATTTACGGTAGCCCAACCCGCCAGGGGTGTCCGCCATATTGGTTTTTTGGGGTTATGTTAAAACTCTGATCTGATGAGGTTAAATGGACCTTGGATTCGGATTCAGCGACCCAAAAAACATAAGGTACACCTAGTGAGACCTCCAAATCAGAACCAACATTTTTTTTTGTGTGGCTGTGTAATTTTTATTAAAAATCTTTTCGTAAAAAGAATCCTATTAAAGACCTTTACGATACTACAAAATCTATGTGCATTTTGACATATTCATTTACCAACAGGTCAAAATACGGTCGAATAAAGGCCTTTACATTACGTCAAAATTTATGACAAATTATATCTATTTTTTGACCCAAATGTCTAAAGGGGCCCAATAATTACTAGGGGAACGGTGTACGAGATAATCCCCCAAAGAGAAATAACCTATTATTCAAAATAAAATCAACATATTTAAGTTTTTTTTGTACGCACTGCTATATAATTATTCTATCTAACTATTCTGATTTGAAATATTTGCAGCTTATTAATATTTTACTATTAAATTTAATTTTTCTAAAACCTTACAAAAGAATCATTTTGGACACCGGGGTGCATGGTATGGGCAAGATGATCCGTAGGGATCATTATTCCCCAATTATTGGAAAACGAGTCCAAATTGAAGAAATAAAAATATATCAATATTGAATATGCTCTATTTAGGCCGTAAACGCTTTTGACCACTCACCATGATTCGTTTTCCTATTTTATAATTACGAGGCATTGTCTACAACGAGAAAATTAATAAAATAGATGTAGATGTCAACTTTTTGTTTTAGATAAGTTAGTTTGCATAATAAAAACATATAAGAAGCAAGAAAAATTGAATTTTTTATTAATACTAGATAATTCAATTTGAGGTGAGACGAAATACATGGTAATCAGGGGGGATCATCTTGCCCCAAATGACACTATTTTGTAATTTGTTTGTAACTTAACCTACGAGCTCTGTTATTCCATAAAACTAATCATAACACTTAGTTGAAGATATACTGAAGCCGTGAGTACAAGAATCATGGAATTTCAGCTACTACAACAAAAGTTATCTAAGCCCAAAGTTAAGCTTTCCTTATATCAAAAGTATGAAATTTTTATTTTTTCCAATAGAATTTTTTTAAAGACGCGCGTTGTCATGACAGTTTGACTGATTCATAAGTATGTCATTGACAACGTATTACCGTATTTGCCTAAAAGGTGGTGCTAATAGGCTCTCCAAAATTCAAAAGGATCATCTTGCCCCAGGGGATCATCTCGTACACCTTTCCCCTATTACGATTCGTCAAAATCTATATTAAATTTGACGTAATTTTGACCTACGGGTCAAAAAGGGTCTTAATAAATATCTTAACGATACGTCATAATCAAATTTCATTTATTTTTTATCCTACATGCACAAAAATGGCGCTTTCTGATAGCAGACGACAGGGAGAAAAGTCATTCATTTCTTCGACCGTATAAAAATGGCGGCCGTGTTCTCCCAAGGGCAAAAAAATTAGCTGTTCACATGCATTTTTCTTGCCCATCGGAGAAAACGGCCGCCATTTTCATACAAGTCGAACAAGTGAATGAATTTTACTCCCTGTCCTCTGCTATCTGAAATCGACACTTTTGTGCATTAGGAATAAAAAATATCGTAAGTAACACGAGAATAAAGGCAGCCAATTTCTTTACGGTGATTTTTGTGACACGAGTGGAGGTCGAGGGCGCCCCAAGACCAAAATGGCTGCCTTTATCCTCTTGCTGCTTAATATACTATTGTAATCTATTGCTTAACCCCTTCTCAGTCAAGACCAAAATCTCATAACTCGGCTCAAAATGTCGACAACTTTTTAGAAAACTAAAATTTGCGCAAACGAGCATACTGTTGTATTTGAACTCGCTGATTACGAATTCGATATCAGATTTTAAAAATTCAAAATGGCGGATCCAATATGGCGGACATTTAAAAAAATTCATCGGATTCACTTGAAACTTTTTACTCGGGAGTTTTTGGGGTCGCTGATTACGAATCCGATATCAGATTTTGAAAATTTAAAATGGCGGATCCAATATGGTGGACAACATTTTCTAAAATTCATCGGATTCATTTGAACCTCGTTACTAGAGGGTTTTCGCTGATAACGAAAAACTTTTTAAACGATAAAAAATACCAAATTTTCTCCCCGCAGTCAGCTGGTAAGTATACTACGTTACTTACGACCCCAGAGTGTACCACGGGGAGGAATGCGGTCAGATTTTACACTCCTTTATTTTTTTGTTTTTTTATATTTTTTTTTGTTGTTCTTATATTGGATTCGCCATTTTCAAAACCGATATTACATTTCTAATCTACGACATCAATAATTACATAAAAAAATGACTAGTTATTATATTAGATCCGCCATTTTTAGAACCGATATTACATTTTTAATCTGCGACATCAATAAACCTGAAGTAACAAGTTTTAAGTAAATCTGATAAATTTTTTAAAATGGCGCCCGCCATATTGGATCCGCCAATTTGAATTTTTTAAATCTGATATCGGATTCGTAATCAGAGACCCCGAAAACCCCTGAGTAACAAGTTGCAAGTGAATCCGATGAATTTTTAATAAATGTCGTCCGCCATATTGGATTCTCCATTTTGAGATTTTAAAATCTGATATCGGATTCTTAATCAGAGACCCCGAAAACCTCTGAGTAATATGTTTTAAGTGAATCCGATGAATTTGTGAAAATGTCCGCCATATTGGATCCGCCATTTTGAATTTTTAAAATCTAATATCGGATTCGTAATCAGCGACCCTGAAAACTCCTGATTAACAAGTTTCAAGTAAATCTGATGGATTTTTGAAAATCTCGTCCGCCATATTGGATCCGCCATTTTGAATTTTCAAAATCTGATATCGGATTTGTAATCAGCGATCCCGAAAACCCCCGAGTATCAATTTGTGGACGAATCTGTGTGTTTTTGTAGCCAAAAGTCTGCTTGCGTCTATACACGTCATCGACAGTTTGAGCCCACCTGCACCATTACGTGTATACACGTCATCGACTGCCAAGGGGTTAAAAGGCCTGTCACATTTAGTCCATCATGAGGTCCATCACATTAATTACGTTTATTTGAACGTTGAGAACATCTAAATCATGAATTTTTCTAGAAGTTTCTCGACATTAACACATCATATTAAACTACAATTTATTTTTTTATTCTTGTACTTATATAAAGTGTATGTATTAGTCAATAAATTAAAATATTAACAGTCAAAATCCGAAGCTCTTTAATTTTAAGATTTTAATAGCATTGTTGGAGAACTAAATTTAAATTAAAATTAAGTAAAATTACATTAAGACTTAAAAAGACAAAAATGTAAAAAATTACCATATTTGAGTTCTGTTTAATTTTTTATTTCATACTAGACTTAACAAGAAAAATCGGAATGATTAGATAGAAAATCAGTAACAGCTGTTAGTCATGTGTACTGGATGTTCATAAATTAAAAAACATTTGTAAATGTTTTTTTATCTTACAGGCACTGACATAATTTTTTATATTTAATACATTTAGTGGTCTCCAAACATTTACGTTTATAATTATTAAATTTTTAATTTATTTTCTACAGAGTTTTAAATTTAAAAAAGAAGACAAAATTTTTATTATCAATTTTCTTAGTTCACACTGTCAACTTCTCAATGTGCCAGATAACGATCCTAGAGATTATTTAAAATAGAAACTAATTGCGGTGTAATAGAATGTTATTTAACAATAATTGAATTCCCAACTGATTTTTCTTAAAAATATGAAACTGAAAGAAAAGCTTTGACTCGGAGTGATCGCTCATTTTAACAAATTTTCGGTATCCGGTCAAATTCCCGAATTCAAAAACCCGAAAGCCAAATTCTCGAAAACTAAATTTTCTAAACTTTCCAGGTCTTTAAACCCGAAATTTTTTTTTAATCTATTAAAAATCATAATTATTTATTTATTTTTTTATTAAAAAGAGTATTTAATTGTGTAAAAATCAACAAATAAAATAAATATAAAATATATAATAAAAAAAATTCAAAAAAAAATAAAATAAGAAATTTTTTTTAAATATTCAGTTTTTGATAATCATTGCGGTGTTCTTTATATTGTTGAAGAATCCCTCGCAGTCGTGTCTGGGAAGTCAAACACTTCTTCTTTGGGTTTGCTTTTATCGACCTTCCCAAGCTCAGTTTCACGATACATATTTCGGTATCTGTCTGCTTTTTCTGGAACTCCTTGAGAAGGTAGTACAAGTAAGGGTGGTGTTTCCCCAGCAATACCGCAAATCTGTTGTGCCATCCTTCACTGTTGTTAATTGTTCAATGAGCACCTTTGACAGCAGCTGTGTGTCGGTTTCAAATGTTAATTGAGTATCGAGGAAGAACTGCCCTTCCACGACCTCGACCTGGTCTTCCATTTATATAGGGGGTCGTTCACAAGCGACGTCACGCTTTTAGGGGTGGGGGTGTCGAGCTGTGTGTGACGAAGTGCGGAAAATTTTTTTTTGTATGTAAAAAATGTGACGAAGGGGGGAGGGGGTAAAAATCAGTCCGAAAAAGCGTGACGCAGTTTGTGAATGACCCCTAGTTCTCGCCGAAATAATCAAAAACAGGAAGAAGTTTCTGAGGAACTTGGTGAAAACGTTGTTTTTACTCGATGGGTCGATTCGAATAATTTTTTCGGGAGATTTTAAAAACTTTTCGGAAAATTAGACATTCGAGATTATTTTTTTCAGAAAATTAGCTCTTCGGGAAAAAGGTCTTCGGGAAATTTAGTTTTTGGTAATTTGGCTTTCGGGTTTTTGGATTCGGGAATTTGACAGGGAATCCAAATTTTCAATTTTTAATACATACAATTTCAGTTCAATGCGATAAATTTTTATTTTTGATGTCTTTTTTTAGGGAATACCTCATACAAGTTATTTATATCAATTTCTCTAATTTTTAAAAGGTAAATTTAAATTGCAATTAACAAAGCTTATACAACAAAATTTTTCAAAATTAAACACCTCACTTACATTAAAACTAATAAGTGTTACAGTTATTCAAATCTTCAGTTTCCTTCTTTGCACAGCATTGAGAAGATTTACAGCTATCGTGTTTGCAGTTAATTAGACAGTCTAATTTTTTTAAAGTTGATATTTTCTGAAACAAATAACATAACAATGTTAAAACAGTTCTTACTTACATTTAGTTCATGAAACCAAACTTAATTATTTCACTCAGGAATCCATACAACGTTATTATCATTAATTATATTAACCTTGGTATTCTTTCATTTATTCATTCATTCTAGAGGCAGTTTGAAGTTAGACTTTTGTACAGGATTTTGTTTTCTTAATGTTTTGACTATTCCCGTCTAATTTCCCGAATCTTATTTCCAGATAGACGATCTCCCGACAATCATTTTTCCAAAATTACAAATCCCGACAATTAAATTTCAAATAAAATGTAAGAAAAAAATGTTCTTATTATAAATTGATGTTGTGAACTAATAATTGTAAACAATCCTGAACTCCTCCAGAAGATTTGTAATCTTCATATTGTAGCACAATTGACCGAAGACGACTTTAGACTTCAAACCATTTCTTCTTGGGAGCTACTTTAACTGCTTTCCCAAAACCCAATTCGACAATCATGCTTTCGGCATCAGCCTGTTCTTTCTGAAATTCTCATAAAGCTAAATATAAGTCTGGGTGATGTTTTCCCAGCAGAACACGGAAGCGATTGTGCCATCCTTCACTGGATATTTTCTCTTATGCTATCGTTCTTGTGCAGTAGTGGTTCCACAATGATACAGGATTTCTGGGTGGAACGACCCTTCTTCGTCCTACACGCGGTCGTCCTCATTTAGGATGGCATTCTTAAAATCTCTCGTAATTCTCTTTGGCTTATAATTTGCAATTCCATATTCCGCAGCTGCTCCGTGAGTGGCCATTGAAACAATAGTATATTGTGCGGTTTCTATGACGAAAGCAGAGCAAAGACTAGAGGAAATTATCACATATTCGGATTCAATCGTGTGCACTTTTGTATTTTTACGAACTATTACCATTACAGTAAATACTTGCGTGAAAATTGTAGGAGACAATTGTAGGGGAGAGTGGGGAAAAGGCGCTAGGTTTACATTTATCGATGTATATTTTTTAAATTAAGCAATTAATTTATGCGGCCTTTGTTTTTCATTATTCTAAGACTAATCAACAAGAAATTTTAATAGTTGTTATTTAGTATATTATAATTATAAATACATTATTTAATGAAATTTAAAAACAATGCAAAAAATGCCTTTGCCCCACACGCTGGGGCAGTGACGTTTTCGCTTATATTTCTAAAAGAAAGCATTTATAAGCCGTAAAAAAAATAACAAGTGATATTTATTAGTATAATATTTACGAAACATAAGGTTAACAACATATTATTAAAAGAATTAAACTACACTCGATTCTCGTTATAACGACGATCTCGGGACTTCAAAATCTCGATATTACGACGGAAGGAAGAATCCTACTTCACGTTATATTCAAACACATGAATTTATCTGTGATTAACAGAACAAAACGTCAAATACGTGTAAAAAATTTCGTAAAGTATATTTATTTATATTAAAAGTTTCTGCATTATGGAATCAGTTTAAAGAAAAAGTAAGAATTTTTAATAATAATCACATCACTAGATTCTTTAGGTTAAATAAAGTTAAGGGTTGATTAACTTAGTCGTTTTTTTTGAGTTAACCAAAATTTTGGTTAAATTAAATTCTTAAATTCGTTCGTGTTTTTTTTGTCGTTGTATCGAGAGTTTTAATGTTCGTTGTAACGAGAGACCGTTGTAACGAGATTCGTTATAACAAGATTCGAGTGTATTTCAAAAAAAATAAAAACTTTTAGTTATTTTAACCTTATATTGTGAATTAATACATAGAAAATTCGAATATTCAATTGTTTTTGACCAAATTATGTTCAATACACTCAAATCTCGCTATAACGACCTTCTCTATAACGAGGGCTCTGTCTCTCGGTATAGCGAGAAAAATTTCCTCCCGATTACCCCCACTATTTATAAACAAATGCACATTTAGTTGGTTTAAATTTGGTTAAAATCAATATTATTTATATAAAATAAAAATAAGAAAAGTCATAAAAAGTCACTTCTTATTTGAAATTATATCAATGAGTCGAACATCTTCAAAATTTTAGCTTATATAAATTTCTGTATGTTAAAGTTCAAATTAAACTAGGTTACGTTTGTAATTTTGACATTATGAAAATTGTAAACACTAAAAAAAATGAATGAAGAATTTTAAAAGTGGGGATTTCTCATTTCTCCTCTTGCGCTCGTAATAGAGGGAGACTTGACTCCCGAACTTCTCGTTATAGCGAGATTCGAGTGTATTGCCTTTGCCCCACATAACAAACTTTTTTTTACTTTAAATTTAAAATATTTGGATACAAAATTAAACTATAACACCACGCCAGTTGTGTAGAGAAATATTTAATTTATTTGCATGTTACGTTTTAAAAAATTAAATAGGGGAGAGTCTCCAGTTGTGAGACGGGTTTTATTTGTGACCTGTAAATTGTAAACGGGCAAACGAAATTGTAAATAAAATACACCGTTCGAAAGGTAACAGAAATACGCAACTTTTATTAAAAGAAAGTATAGTGTTTCGATGAACTTAAAAAAATTTTACGATAAATTTTCCGAGCACATCGCTTTTTTCAAAAAAAAACGTCTCCAGTTGTGGACACTTATTAAAAATTGCTAAAATTTAATAAGTTTGACATAAAACGTTATGTTTAGTAGAAATAATTAAATATATTAATAATATATATTATTATATACTAAATAATATTTATTCGACAAAATATGACTACCAAATAAACACAATTTAATAGCTTCAACAAGAGCATTAAAATTGATTTCTTCTGAATCAATTGACTTTTTTCCACTTGACATGCCCAAAAATACTAGAAAAAAAATCAAAACATCATTTAAATAGTATGCCTGCAAAGTTGTATTTTTTATGCTGCCCAGATGGGTGTTGACACCGTCTCACAACTGGTGATATGCTGTGTCTCACACCCAGAAATTGGCGCTATTTTGAAAAAGGAAAATTAAATTATTTTCAACCATAGATTGGAACAATGCAATATTGCATCACAAAATATAAGGAAAACACTAAAAGAAAATGCATTACATTTACCTATTCTAAATTAATTAACTTGGAAAAAAAGTACTTTGCATTTATTGAAAAAACGCTTTTTAGTCGATTATCACACACAGTGTTGGTATTTAACAAAAACAGTTTATATATCCGCTTCGGCGTACTCGAAAAAGTTGGCTCATATAGAAAGAAATGTTTTTATATAAACCAATCGGCTTCTTAATATTGCATGTTAAATAAAATTTACTGTCTCACAACTGGAGACTCTCCCCTACTTAAACTTATGTTTTAAAAAATAAAAGTTTGTTCAGTAAAATTATCATTTTATTTTTGCAAAACAATTTTTTTGTTATATTTCTTAAAATATTTGATATTTTTAGGTTTTTCTTTTTTTAATCAATTGGTCTGATTGCATTGCAACTTAATTTTTAATACCAATTGGAATAAACAGAAAATAAAGGAGATATTTTAAAAAACGTCTTTGCCCCGCATAGCGCCTTTGCCCCACTCTCCCCTACAATGACAAATTAAGTATTGAGGTTATTAAAAAAAAAATTTTTTAATTTTTTTTAAAAATTGCTACATAATTTTATTTTAAAACTAACTTTAAATGTACTGTCCAAAAACCAAGTGTTACAGTTGGTAAGAAATTCTAGGTTACGCCACGTAGCAAAAAAAGGAAAACAAAAACAAGGACTCTGCTTTCTTCAATCCCAGAATTGTGTATTTTTCATATGTAAAAAACCGTTGTCAAGTTGTACTTTTTATAATTTTGGTGTTCATTTCATGAACACTTTGCTTCCTTACAGAAATAATAATCATTGAAATATAATTAGTTTGTATAAAAAGGTTAAAAATCATTAAATTTTGGTCCAAAAAATGTGTTTTTATATAGGGGAGAGTCAGTACGGTCGGACCACCTTTACGGTTGGGCCACCTCGGGTTCCTCAGTTGTAACAAACTGGCGCCATTTACCATTGCATGTAAATACTTGTTAGTGATGGTAGAAATCTTTTCACGTCACTTTCATTAAGTTTCAATGAATAACGCAAGCAGTACAAACGTGAAACGTAAATGTGTGGTGAATTTTGAAGCAAAACTTTTTCTTAGTGTCGAGAAAAATTAATTAAACGAAAAGGAAGATGCAAACAATAAAGTAAGTTGATGAAATTTATTCATTAGAGAGTTCTTTAATACTTTGGTATGTTATTTGGTTTTTATATCTTGCGTTTATGTCTGTGTGCTAAAAAAAGGAAAACGACGCGATTTTTCTTGAATTTTTAGACCAACTTCGAGAAGAAAAAGGAAAGCTAACCGCGGAAATCTTGATTTTCCAACGTAATATAAGTTATTAGGGATGTAATATGTGATCATGATTCAATTTAATTAGCGGGGCGTAACTATATCATACCAAGGACGTCATTTACTAATAGTCCAATATTAATTTTTCTATACGATCAATAAAATAAAAAATTGATAAAGAGTAATTTTTAAATGCATTTTATATTTCCTTTTCCTATCTTCAAGTGCATTTCAGCATTCTTCTGTAATTTACGGGCCATTTTTAGTAATATTTCTTCATATCACATTGATTTTTACGGTGGCCCGACCGTAACATTTTTTTTAAAATGTTTATAACTTTTCAAATTTTTGTCCACACATTTTCTGATGTACAAAAGAAACATTCCACTTTAGAAGATCTTTCCAACCATATGTCAGAAAACGTAAAATTTGGCCTAGAACGGAAGTTTTGGGCACAAGTCAAAAAGTGTCCCGACCGTACTGACTCTCCCCTATTCTATAAGATGGTAATAAGAGTTTAATAATTATACATAAGTTAATAAACAAGAATGTTAGAAAAATGATATTTTCCACAATTTTTTATTTTTCGAATACCAATAATTTCATAATTTCTGCCCGCAGGATCAAAAATAGGTCAATCGAAGCGTTATTTTAATGCTCTTGAAGTTGATAATAATAT